TCTAGGTGCGTTCATGTTGTAGCAATGGTAAAATTTCATTCATTTTTTTTTTATAGCCTGTGGACACTTTCGTGGCTTCCATATCTTGGCTATTGTAAATGTTGCTGCAGTGAATGTAGGAATTCAGATATCTTTTCAAATTAGTGTTTTGGGTTTCTTTGGGGTAAATATCCAGAAACGACGTTGCTGGTTCACCTGGTAGTTCTATTGTTTATTTTTTGAGAGACCTCCATTCTGTTTTCAGGTGTTGGTTCTTTTGAGAAGCCTTCCCTGAGACATTCTGTGTCAGGTGCTCTTGGGGGGCTCATAGCCTTGTGATCAGCTCTTAGGACTGTTCTGTATTTAGTTCTTAATGCACTGATTTGTCTCCCAGGTAGCTACATGAGAGTTACTTCCTGTTCGCGTCTTAAATCCTTGGCACAGTGCCTGTCTGTAAGCACACAGAAATCAAATGTATCAGGAATGGGAAGACTGGAAGGGCAGTGTTGCTGACTGTGGGGGAATGGCTACTTTTGTATAGACCCTTAAAGTTACAGGAAAACTGAAGAGGCAGTCATGGTCAAGTGGAAAACTATGAAAGATATTTGGAAGAGGAGGATGAGGTTTCATTCTGGAGGTTTTTGGTTTGCCACCTCTAATCCCAGGGGAATCCTATGAGGCAAGTGGCAACGTGAGGAAATGAGGGGGCAGAGTAATTAATTCATCAGTTGTAGTAAGGGGCAAAATGGAGAAGGCCTGTGTGTGTGTGACTTCCAGTTCCCCTTAGTCCTCTGCGCAATGGAGACATGTCATTGTGTTTGTCCTGTTTACTTCGTATGATCTTCGAAAGAGAAATATGTACAATGGCTGTAAGTACAATCACGAAAAACTTACTAGCTATCTCTGATAAAATTTGTTTTCACTTTTATGTGATCTTGGCCTACGTATTTTGCATGCTTTGAACTGACCTGTTTGTTCAATTAATAAAAAAGTTAATCATTACTCTCTTGGTTTCACCAAAGAAAATTATCTTTATTTCTTTTACCATTTCTTTTAGAAATGGAGTTATTGGGACAACGGGTATGCACATTTAAAATTTTGATAATGTTGCTGGATGGTCCTGTGGAAAGGCTAAACCTGTTTTACTTTTATCAGGATTGTAGTGTGTGAGTGTCTCTTTTCCCATGTTCTTGATGAGTCTGGGCATTATCCATCTTTTAAAACTTAGAGAAAAATAATCACGTTTTAATTTATCTGTTTATTTGTGAAGTGTTTTTTTATGTTTGTTGGCTTTTGCATTTCTTTTATAACTTGCCTATTAGTAGTAGCACTTTTTAAATTTTTCTACTGAGTTATTCTTTATTATTTGTAGGAAATCTTACCTATATGTTTGTAGACATTTTCAGATTAGTTGCTTGTATTTTAATGTTGTTTATGGCATCTTTTGTTTTATTTTTATGTAGTCAAATCTGTGTTTATGGATGGCTTCTAATCTTCATGTTTTGCTTAGAAGGCCTTCCCTTTGCCAAGATTAGAAAGATAAAAAAATATATCCTTTTTTCTGCGCATATACTCAGTAAGTAGGTTATTATGTGCAAGTAAGGTGACCTTTAGATTCATTACTTGGGAACATGATTAGCCACTGGACTTGTTCTTTGATAGTTTTTGAAATCTTCGAAGACCTGGGATACTACACAGATGATGTTAATTGAAGACTAAGGTGAAGTCACATTCTGTAGAGCCAAATTGGTGACCTCTGCCTTTTAGATGTTTATGCACAAGGTGCTGCTCACATTAGAGATAATAGTAAAAACGTACACGTGAAATGGCTTTAATTATGATGAAAATGCTTTTCCAAAAGCTTAGATTTTTAGTGTATGTTGAGTTAGGTCAGGGTGCTGTAATTTCTTCACCTCTTCAGCTGCCATGGGTATAAAACATGGGAAGTGTGGGACAGTAGTGCTGGGTACAGGGAAAGAGAAAGAAAGGGCATGTGAGTAGAATTACTTAGGAAGGAAGTGTAGCCATGTGGAGGAGTAGCAGTGTGGTGCCGGCAAAAATCAGAGAACTTGACAGTTACTCAACCTTACCACTTCATTTCCTGAATTATGTTTTGTTTTCTTTCTCTTTGCGGTTTTAAGCATCTGTGGTTCTAAAACAGGTTGAAGAACCCCACTGTCTTTAATCTGATTATTAATCTTCAGTTTTGGTGTTTCCATGGTTCCTGTGCCCCCTGTGAGCATGTGCCTGTGTCTGCATTTAAGCAATTACTGCTGAAATGAGGAGTCACTCGGTAATTTCAAAAGCGAAACTCTAATATGAAATTCTCATTTCCTCCAGAAGCAATAAAGTAGGTAGTTGTCAGCCTCAAGCTCAATTCTTTGCAAGCTGTGTAGCACACTGCGGCTCGCTTTATCATCCCTCTCTTCTTTAGCTCCCAGCACAAATGTCCCGTTTCATAGCTGAGGTATCTGTTCTGTACACAGTATTTTTTAGGCTTAAATTATATTAGAATGGATTTGTGACTTTTCAATATTGGAAAATTTATATAAGAGGGTATAAAACCAGGGACATCTTCAGTCATTTTTGGCAGAAGTTTAACAGGTTTGTGTACCTTGTTTATCTGCTTTGTTTATTAGCCACAAAGCTGCTAATAAACAGCTTTGTGTGCGTATGTGTGTAAAACATTTGTTTGGGGTTTTTGACGTCTTAAGAGTATGCCAACTATGGTCAGATCTAGGAAATAATTGTTTGTTTATTTTCTTATACTTCACAAAATACTTTTATAGGCATTTTTCGCCACAATAGAGAGAGATGGGTCGGAACATGTAAAAAAGGTTGAGAATTCAAGATTATAACCATCAAGGATAAGAAGAGGGAAAAAGGTACAACTGGTTCTTGAACCCAGTTCTCTGGAATTCAGAGTCCAAATTCTCAGTTTGTGTTCCCTGTACCCTTGACTGTGAGCAGAGATCAGCGTAAATGGAGATGTGTCAGTGATGTGAAGGGATAATCCTTCGCAAAGGAAGGGAAGGGAAGCTTTCTACTGAGCCAGAATTGTGATTGGTGCATAATTACTTCTCATACAGTTGGTATTATTAGCTCCGCTTTAGTGGTGAGAAAACACTAACAAAGCAACGTGCTCAAGCTTGCACAGAAAGAAGGCAGTAGAGCAGAGATTTGAACAAAGGCCACCTTTTAAAATTTTTTAAATATTTTTATCTTTTAATTAAATTGATTGGGATGACATTGATTAATAAGTTCATATAGGTTTCAAGGGTACAAATCTATGATACGTGATCTGTATATTGCACTGTGTGCCCACCACCCAATGTCAAACCATCTGTGACCATATGTATTTGGCCCCCTCTACTCTTTACTACCCCCCACCCTCCACTTCCCTCTGGCAGCCACCATACTGTTGTCTGTGTCTGTGAGTTTCAGTTTTATGTCCCACATGAGTGAAATCATATGGTGCTTGGCTTGTTCTGTTGGACTTATTTCACTTAGCATAATATTCCTCATGGTTCATCCAAGGTGTTACAAATGGCAGTATTTCATCTTTTCTTGGCTGAGTAGTTAGTATTCCACAGGAAATATGTAATGCATTTTCTTTATGCAGTCACCTGTTGAAGGACACTTTGGTTGTTTTCATGTTTTGGCCACTATGAATAGTGCTGCAATGAATAGATACTGCACAAGGGTGCATGTATTAGCCCTGGCTGGTGTGGCTCAGTGGGTTGAGCACTGGCCTGCGAACCAAAGGGTCAACAGTTCGATTCCCAGTCAGGGCACATATCTGGGTTATGGATCAGGTTCCCAGTAGGGGGCGTGCAAGAGGCAACCACACATTAATGTTTCTCTCTCTTTCTCCCTCTCTACCCCCTCAAAAAAAAAAATATATATATATATATATATATATATATATGGATGCATGTATCTTTGCGAGTAAATGTTTTCAGGTGTTTTGGGTAGGTACCCAGAAGAGGCACTGCTGGGTCATATTATAACCCTATTCTTAATGTTCTGAGGAGCCGCCATTTCCATAGTGGCTGTGGCAGCTCACATTCCCACCAGCAGTGAATGAGGGCTCCTTCCTCTCCACAGCCTCTCCAGCACTCGTTCCTGCTTGTCTTGTTGACCGCGGCCGTTCTGGCAGGTGTGGGGGGGCATCACGTTGTGGGTTTGATCTGCATTTCCCTAGAGCTAGTGAAGCTGAGCATCTTTTCATATAGCTGTTGGCCATTTGTATGTCTTCTTGGGAGAAGTGTCATTTTAGGTCCTCTGCCCATTTTTGATTCAAAAGTTCTATTCCCTTTTCTCTACAGCAGTTTCTTCAAAGCTAAAATCTAAAAGGGTAGGGAGGAGTATGTAGGGAAAAGATAAGAAAAGTAAGTGATTTTTAATTGTCAGTTACACTGTAAATGTTTCAGTATGATTAATTTGAATTCTCTGGTTTAACACCGGGGGTAGAGTAATGAAAGAGAATATCATAATGAGGATCACATTTTTTTTCCTTCAGAATTTGGAACACCATATAAAGGAAAGTAATGTCAAGATTCTTAGTTGTTAAAGTCTTCAATAATCAGGGTTGTAAGAGCTACTCCTCTGTCAAACTGGAGTCCACATCCCAGCTGCAGGGATTGTGCCCTTCAAGCCTTTGCCTTCCCCACTGCTCTGCCTGGGGTGGCGGGGTGAGTGTGCGCGCGTGCTCAGTCGGTGCTTGTCTCTTGCCTCTTCAGGAATCGTGCAGTTGTGAGCGAAAATTTCACTCGCTTGTTTTTGACCAGATTCTTAGAATTAATATTGCTTTTCACTAGGCAAGTCCTTTTTAACTCAGGTAGTTTTATCAGCTGACTTCTGCACGTAAATACAGTGCTGCCGCACACACAGAACCGCGTCGTGATGGTGAAACCACTCAGGGTGAGCCAGTGTGTGGACAGAGCTATCCCCTTTTTTCCAGCAGAGATGAGAATTTTGTGCAGTGTTTTTATTTACGAATCTCCTTTTTTGCTTTTTAGGATATTCGGAAATTCTTTGGGGTTATACCAAGTGGAAAGAAACCTGCGAGTGAGACAGTAAAGAAGAATGAGAAAACAAAGTCTGCAGAAGAAACTTTAAAAGCAAAGAAAGGAATAAAGGAAATCAAGGTCGGTTTTCCAAATATAGTTTACAGTTGTGTGAAAAGTCAAGTCACCTGTGAACCATCATCGCCAGTGGTGGTATTCTAATCTGACGGGTGGCAGGCTTGAGCCCGGGAAGAACCCACTTTTCAGTTCAGGTCTGAAGGCAGGAAAAGCTGATACTTCAGCTTAAAGACAGGAAGGAAGAATTCTTTTATATTTGGGAGTGGGTCAGCCTTTCGTTTTCTTTAGGCCTTCAGCTGATTGGGCGAGGCCCACCCACATTAGAGGGAGAAATCTAAATCAAATTAAATTTTAAGTTTATTGCAAAACGTCCTCATAAAATCACTGAAAATATCTGGGCGCCTTGTGGCCCAGTCAAGTTGACACATAAAATTAACCATCATAGGTTATCCTATTTTTTTTGTATGGTAGTGTTTACCTTGGACAGTATGAATGATACAGTGTAGGTACTTTCGATTGTATTATATTCTTCTAAAGAGTGTGCTTTGTATTTAGCAGGTAGTTACCTTTGCTGAGGTCAAACTCCAAATTCTGGTATTCCTTGTGATGGGCAGCACTTAAATCTTTGTTCAGTTCTTTTACCTTAGCAGGGCACTTGTTGTTCCATGCAGACATATTTCAGGAGATAGCCCAGATTGGGGCTTAGTTTATCAGCAGGAGTTGGGTTGCCTTTTCTGTGGTTCTTTCCCTTCTCGGATGCCCTCTTCTCTTGCTGTTGAGTTGTAATAATCGCTTCTAATTCTGTCCTCTAGCCCAGTGGTGTGTTTGAATTATAATGGTTCCTTCATCTCATTTCCTTGCAAGTCAGTTGATTATTTTCACATTTCGATGTTTTGTTATAATAAAACATTTCTAGTAACATATTTCTACCTTATAATTGATTATAGTCAGTTTTTTCCTGTGTGCTTTCATGATGTTTGTTGGGAAATTTTGATTATGTTAGAAATGTGATGTATAAGTAAAAAATATAAACAGTGCCTTTTGCCCTGGTTTTATTTAGTTTTCTAAGAGGCATGCATTGTGGTAGGCTCATAACTCCTTAGCTTTTATTTCTGTCTCTGTCATTTTCTGGAAGTACTTACCTTGTAATATCTAACATCCTTTTACTCTTTGTTATACATAGGTTAGTGTTGAAAGTGGAGCTGAATAATAATACAGCTTTTTCTATAATTCTTTCTTATTTAATGCAATTATCATTTGGCCTGTTCTTTGGCATAATTAGGGCCTTATTAACATTTTGGGCTGGATCATTCTTTCGGTGGACGACTGTCATGTGCATTGTACGATGCTTAGTAGCATCCCTAGTGGACTCACTAGATGCCACTAAAAATCTACACCACCCCCGCCCCTCCCTCCTCCTGCTGCCAGTGATGACAAGCAAGAATGTCTCCTGGCAGCAGAATTTCCTCCAGTTGAGAATCACTGAGCCTAAGTCTAAGGAGGAAAACAGCTACTAAGTTTTATAGGCTTCTTTGTGTTCTAATTATATACTGTGATGTTTATAGGTAAATAGTTCTTGTAAAGAGGATGACTTTAAACAGAAGCAATCAAACAAGAAAAAGAGGATCATCTATGAATCAGGTAATATTTCTTTTGAGGAGCTTTAAAGTTTTCAAATTATTTTCTATCCCTTGGAACAGAATTTTTCAAACTGATGTTCTGAGACACACAGCTATCTGTGATGATTAGGTGCTATGAGAATAAGGCTCTTTATTCCAATAAAATTGAAAACAATTTTATTACACTACAAAATTTGTCAGAGCCTATCTATGTTATTGTATTAAAGGTTTTCTCAGAGAGGGATCTAGTATATAGTATGTCTCAAACTTACTTTGACGACTTATTTTAAAAACTATTACCTTCTTGTCCAGCTGTGCTTTGAAACTGAACTTGAAAAATAATACCTTAGAATATTGCTTTAGAAACACAGATCTAAATTTTAATTTTTTGTGCTTTTGAGCTTGTCCTTTTTTGTTGCATTTAAAATAGGACAAACAAAGCTCTTCTTTGAATATAGTGTTAAGATAGGGAACATAATTTTTATGTATGCCTTTTATATCTTTAAATAACATTAGAACTCAGAAAGTTTTAGGTCTTGTTTTTGTGGAGAAGACTCATCTGGCGTGAATTCTTAAAATTAAAAATGTAACCTAAGAAAGTATTTATAGATTGCCAAGATTTTGATAGTGATAGCAAAGAATTCTGACTCAATTCTAAAGTATTTATTATGAGTCTTTATTATGAGTCTTACTGCCGTATATTGTTAGGGATTTGAAAGAAGTACATCTTGCCATTTCTCATGTGTTTCCGGCTTTTTGGAAACTGGAAGTTTAATTGTTTGATTCAGTTTAGAGTATGAGACAGGGTTTCTAAATGTGTGGTGAAGACGGAGGACACTAAAGTTTATGAAACACCTATTTTGTGCCAGGCACTATGCTAGGTACTTGTACTTAGTCCTGATTTATATTGAAGTGCTCTGGGCAACTAGGTGGCAGTAGACAGAATAGTGGCTCCCAGAGATGTCTGCCCTAATTCTTGGGACCTGTGATTATGTTAGTTTACATGGCAAAGGGAAATTATAAAGTCGTAGGTGGTATTAAAGTTGCTAATCAGATGACCTTAAAATAGATGGTCTTGGACTATCTGGTGGACCCAGCGGCGTCACAAGGGAGAGGGAAGCAGGAGAAGCGAGGGAAGAGAGGTTGACTGAGGAAGGTCAGAGAACCAGGGAGATGGCAGTGTGAGAAGGACTTGGCCTGATGAAGATGGAGTGAGGGGGCCGTGAGCCAAGGAATGCTGGCAGTCCCTGGAAACTGGAAATCAGTCCCATGGACACCTTGATTTTAGCCCAGTGAGACTCAGATTTCTAGCCTGTAGAACTATATGGTAAAACATCTGTGCTATTTTAGGCCACTACATTTGTGGCGATTTGTTACAACAGCCATAGAAAACTAGTAGAAGACTCAACACTGGGCAGAAGAAACCTGTGAGACTTACGGAAGAGATGTGCTTCAAAAGGGAGGGCCTGGAGGATGTGGTTAACAAGAATCACTTTGAAAACGTACTGTGTTACATTTCTTTCAAAGTTCTCTTTTATTTTCCTCTCGTACAGACTCAGAACCAGAGGAGACAGTGCAGGAAAAAAATGCCAAAAAGCAACCAGAAAAATTGCCATTGTCTCCCAAACCTGGCAAAATTCTACGACAGCACCCTGTCACCTACATTTCAGAAACAGGTAAGGATGCCGAATACGTTGACTGTTGCAGAGAGAAGTAGTATGTGTTATGTTCTCGTGCCTCTCACTGGTGTCTAAATGTACCTCCTTCACACTGAATTGAATTTCTGTTTTCTTTTTTTGCTTTGTTGAATTATATTCATCAAGGGAAGGCTGTAATTATCTTTGTCATTTTCTGTGGAAATGGAACTTTTTCAGTGCTCTATATTGAATCATATAAGTTGAAGCTCTATCTTGAATCATACATTAAAATACTGTTGGATTGTTTTATAACTTCTTTATGTAAGTTTTTATCTAGCATGTTAAAATCATAATAATCTAGGTATATAAAGATTTTCATATTTGTGATTTATAGTCTGGTACAGATGTAACCTGGATTCATGGTTTTCTCTGGTGACATTAAAGATTTTATCATTGGCATTTTTTAAAAAAAGATTGCTTTTTTCACAGATGCACACAACAGTATGGTGGTTACCAGAGAGAAAGGGGTGGGTCGGGGGATGGTGGGAAAGGGTGAAGAGGGTCAAATGTATGGTGACAGAAGGAGATTTGACCTTGGGTGGTGAGCACACAATGCAGCTTACAGGTGATGTAGTGTAGAATTGTGCACTTGAAACCTAAACCTATATAATTTTATCAACCACTGTCACTCCAATAAATTTTTAAAAAAGATTGTTTTTGTACTTAAATTTGTTTTATCACTTTTCAGTGGCTAGAAAGCAAAAGACATTTATGAATAATCACATACCAATCTTAATGTTTCCAAAGTATAACTCACTGTTTCATAGATAGTATTCTTTCCCAGGGAGGAGTCCTGAGTTACATTGCCACCCCAGGAGAAAACTCATGTGTCTGTTTGCTGTAAATTTGATTCTAGCATCATGAACTCCCAGAGGAGACCACTGCAGGAATCAAAGGTCAGCTTTGTTCACTTCAGACTCTCAGAGCCTGTTGAATTGGTCCCTCTATAGAAATGCTGAAGGAACAAGGAGAACATCTGATGTCTGATTGATTTGTTCTTATTGAGGAAAGCCTCTGAAATTACGTGTTGCACTCTGCTACTTATATTGCTAGTGAAGCGAATACACTTGATTTGAAGGGAGAGGGTAAAAGCCACATTATTTTGGCCCAGCATGTTACAATTTACATTCAACACACATTTATTTGAGTGTCTTTTAGTGTCTCAGGTATAGGTGCCAGGGATCTAAAAGACAAAGCGTTTCAGGTACTGTAGGAGTTACCTGGGGCTACCGTATGCAGTAGGTAGGGAGAGGGCTGGATGGCGAGGGTAAGGTTCCATCTGGCCCTTGAAGGATGAGCAGGTGGTGGTGGAGAAGAACATGTCAGGTTTAGGAGATGGGATTATCTAAAGCACAGCATCCAGCACATGGCTTGATGTGTTCATAGGACAGTGAAGAGATTGCTTGCCCATATAATGAGTAGTGGGAGGTAGGTGAAGCTGGTTTGGGGAAGACCTTGAAAGCTTTGCAGATGACTTTAGAGTTAATGTAGCAGGGAAAAGGGAAACTATTAAAGTTTTTGAACAGAGTTGTGAAACGACGGAAATAGTGTTTACAGGTGGTTGCTAGGGGAGAGATTGGGCAGCGGGTGCACTAGGTGAAAGGCATTTGAAGGTGTAGACTTCCAGGTATAAAATAAGTAAGTCATGGGGATGACATGTACAGCATATGGAATGTAGTCAGTAATATTGTAATAATTTTGTATGGTGATAGATGGTAACTAGACTTACTGTGGTGATCATTTTGTAATATATAAAAATATTAAATCACTACAGTGCTTGATTAGTATTCAGGGTGGGATGGAGAGTAGAGAAATCATAATTAGGGAGATTGTGGCACTTATATTAATCTAGGAATGAATTGATGGGAGTCTCAAAAAGTTAGCAGGCCCTGGCCAGGTAGCTCAGTTGGTTAAAGCATCATCCTGATATGCCAAGGCTGCAGGTTCGATCCTTGGTCAGGGCACATATGAGAATCAACCAATGAATACATAAATAAGTGGAACAACAAATTGATGTCTGTCCCTCTCTAAAGTCAGTAAATTAAATAAAAAAGTTAACAATAGGAAGAGACTATTAACTGATCTATACATTTTGGTAGATGAGTTTCAGATTAGGTTTTTGGAATACCTATGGGTTTCAGCCATGCTATCTGTGGTTTTTATTGTTTAAGACAGGGGTGTCAAACTCACAGCAAAGCTGATGTGGCCCCCAGTAAAAATGAGTTTGACACCCCTGATTTAGGATAATTGAAGAGTTAATGTTGTTAGTGTGCTTAAGGGTCTTTTCTTAAATAACAGCTTTATTGAGATATAATTCATATACCATACAGTTCACCTAAAGTTTTAATGTTATTGGAAGTTGTAGATAAAGATCAAGGTTTTCAGAGGTACGAGTAACGTTAAAACTTTGCTTACATGTATGAGCCATTTACTTGAGAATGTAAGGGTGCACACTTGGCAGATGCATCGGTCAGTACGTAGGGAACGAAACAAGAAAGGAACCCCTGGTGTTGCAGAGGAAACCTGAGACCGGAAGGTCTGAAACCCTGCCTGGGGAGTCCGTCCTTGGCTCCCTTTCGACAGCTGTGTGACATGGAGCTAAAGCTCAAAGTCTGCCTGCCTTTCTGTGGAGCAGGAGCACTGGTTGCATAGGCTGGTTGGGAAGACTTGATGGGGTGATACATATGAGAGGGCCAGACCCGGTGCCTGACGCATGTACGAACAGGCAGTCAAAAGGAAGAGAGAAAAAGAAAAACAAAAGAAACCCACTGGTGAGCTTCGTAGGTTCTCTGGGACCATTTATTTGATAAAGTTGTTCATGAGCAAAGACAAAATGGAAATGATGGGAATACATTACTAGTAAAATTTTTGGTAAGCTGGGTTATTTCTTCATTATGGCAGGTGGCAGATTAACTCTAACCTTTTTGTTCTATTGCTAAATGTCTGCTCAGGCACATTGTGCAAATGAACTCTTGCTTTACGAGCCCCTCCACCCCCCGCTGTGGCTACCCTGGTGAAGTGTTGAATATGTGGGAGGGATACTAAAAGCAGTATGTTGATAGGTTTGTTATGTAACTGAAGGTGGTGTGATCAGGTTTGCAGAGACATCACGGTTTGTGAGCAGACAGCGTGGCCTTCAACTGTGGATCAAGGCTATTGCTCTGTGTGCACAGAAGGGTCAGACAGTTTAAGCTTTGGTCAGATTTTCTTTAACACGGAATTGTTTATTTCAGATCAGCTGTTTTTGAATATCGTTTTCTGAAGAGACATCCAGCATTTATCTAAAATTTTATAAACATCAGGCAGTGTTTATGTCATTCTGCTGATGTCATGTCCATGTGAAAGTGAGCATTGTCCTGCTTCAGCCAAAATCTTGCAGTACCTTGTGCCCATGTAATATGATGTTCAGTATTACCTAGTATCCTGCTTTTTCTTAACTGAGAAATAGGAAGGAAGCTAGCTCTTTTCTTGCATGTTCGATCTTCTCATACTTTTTTATTCCTTAATGTGGTAGGTGAAGAGAGGGAATATTTTTTATTCCTTTTTCTTTCCTCTGTAAAAGGGAATGAAACTGTTAAAAAGAAGTCCACAGTATAATTAGCATAATAAAATCAGAAATATGAGTTTCAATTAAAAAGTACAACTTCTTAAAATTAATACACAAACTGGGATGTTCTTGAACTTAATAATTCTTTTAATATTCTTTACCTTTTGTTAATTTAAAACTATAATTTTTCAATACTGGCTCATGAATAAATAGTCATATCACCTTCATAGCTTAAAGAAAACATTTGTGGTAATAATGGTTTAAAAATAAAAATTCTAACTTAAAACTATATTACAATATTTGGAGGTTGGATTTTCTTGTGGAAAAGGATTATGTGACATGATTTAGCTTTAACACCTGTTAATTCCAAAAGAAAGGATTTTTGTTTTATTCCGTATTTTATCTTTTATACACCAACCTTTGTTATTTTGGGTGTTTTTCCTGTAGTGTGGCCTGTGTAGCGTTTAAAAGAGCATACGCTCTCGAGTCAGACTGCATGGGTTAGATTGTCCCTGACCTTCCCCTGTGTCTCACTTCCCTCATTTGGAAAATGGTGACAGTTAGTAGCACCTACATCAGAGGCCTCTGATGATCAAAGAGGTAGTGCTCGAAAGGCACTTACAATAGGGTCTGGTGCACAGTAAATGCTCTGTAAGTACTCACTCATGTTTTGACTTCATTCTATACTTTTGTCTGCCTTTAAAGACTGTGCCAAAGACACTTTGCTTTTGCTGAAGGCTCTCTGTTGATTGTGTAACTGTGATTTAGAAATTTAGAATTGTATTTGACTCACGGCATTTATGTTGTGTGTGCTGTCCAGTATAGGGACCGCTAGTTGCATGTGCCTGTTGAGCACTTGAAATGTGATTAAACCATATCAATAGTGTTTTTAGTATCAAGTACAGATTTCAAAGACGCAATACAAAAAAAGGGAAGTTATTTTTTAATTTAAAAAATTTTTAAAAGATTTTATTTATTTTTAGAGAGGATAAGGGAGGGAGAGAGGGAGAGAAACATCAGTGTGTGGTTGCCTCTTGCACACCCCCCACTGGGGACCTGGCCCGCAACCCAGGCTTGTGCCCTGACTGGGAATCAAACCGGCAACCCTTTGGTTTGTAGGCTGGCACTCAGTCCACTGAGCCACACCAGTCAGGGCTTAGTTTTACTTTTTTATAAAAATTACATGTTGAAATGATATAATTTTGGCATATTGGGTTAAATAAAATATACTGTTAAAATTAATTTCACCGTTTTTTTTACTTTAGTATGAAAGTTTATGAGAAACTTTAAAATTACATATGTGGCTTGCATTTTATTCCTATTGCAAAGTGCTTTATAAACAATGAGAAACACATTTAGGAAGTAACCTAGTTGAAGTGCTTTTGTTTATGTTATCATACAGATCTTTAGGCTATATTATTATACAGATCTT